AACGAAAGCTGAATCCTTTACCTTGTTAAAATCCAAGACTACCGCTAAAAAAAAAGGAACATTAATAAAGTTCCTAAAACAAAAAAAAAAATAAAAAACAAGTTCACTTACCATTTAAACAAAAGCCGAACCCTCCTCCACTTATCAGATTTAATGGAAGATTTGTGCTTTGCATGTAAGTAAATTTTTTTTTTTGGATCATTTTTATTTACAGATTTTATTAATTAAAATTAATAAATATTTAATGGAATATCTTTTAGAATATCTAATGAATGCTGAAAAATAACCAACTTGATATTAATGAAACATTTGAATTGCAAAAGAGATTGGTGATGACATCAATAATACCTGCTTTGTTAAAGGTATTAGATCCAGAAATGTATCCGATTGGTGAAGATATCCTTTACAAAATAATTTATCAATGCTATCGCCACCAAAAGGAGGAAATGTTGAGGAAAAAAAAATAAAGCTACATAAACAAAAGAAATCTAATGTCGACATGGGAATTCTCACAGAAAAGAGGTAATAAACCAATCAGTTTATTAATTATGTATTCAACTAATTATTCAATATATGATGTATATAACAAATTTATTAATAGAAAAGAGCACGAAGGGCTAATGTAATTAACCACTTACAAAAAATGAGAGATCTGATTATTTTAAATTCTGATAAATGGAGCTTAATATAATTTTAATGAAAAGTACCTATCATAGTTTAGAGGTTTCAAAAGATGATGAAGAATTGAATATAAGAGATCATCATATTGTAATATGAGATTTGAGTTAGAGGAGCAGCACTGTAAGTACAAGATAAATGTTTTCACAATTCACAACAATACTAATTCATTTGATATTTTCAAGTTACGTACATTTTAAGAGCTACCTAGATGCAATCTTCTATCAGCAAAGACCCAATAGACGAAAATGTATGTGAATTTATAATAATGATAATTTTGTCACTGATGAAATAAAGACCTCCATTAACACATCTCAATAGACTAAATCAGAATATATAAGATTGATAAAGACTATTATCGAGAAAGCAGTATCAAAATATGATAATAAGAATGAATTGGATGTGTTAAATTCATATATCAATTCCCAT